GAAAGTCTGGTAAGGTTACACCCAAAATCCCTACTCTCGAAATGGCCAAGCTGCCCTGGAAGTCTCCTCATCACCTAAATCGGAACATCTTCCTCTCCCCGCACCGGTATTCTGTTTCTCCCAGGCACGAATCCGCCTACTGGTAAGAGGGTTCTGGGCCCATTGTAGGTTGTTACATGGAGCTGGAAGACAGATTTAAAAATCACTATCAATGACAAGTTCTTTTTTCCGTTAGAGAACTTTCACCAGGACCACATCTGTGTAACTTTGGATGAAGAGACCTACGTCCTTGGGATGAGCTAAGACACCTTCAAATCAAAGACGGTTGGAAACCCAGAAACGGGGAGAGAATCAGGGCATTTATGAGCGCCGGTCTGGAACAGGTAGGTCAAGCCGCCAGACTGTCAATTGAGCAAAACCTCAATTACCGAGTAATCTAATGTACACCCAGGCACGTTACCACAACTCAATAAACAGCTCTTTAGAGCTAAGTAATTCCAATTTGCTTTCATTTGGATCTGTGTGTCGCCGCGAGAATTTGATATTACCTGCACTCAAATTAGGCGGCGTCTTCTGAAGCGCTGATGCTCCGTCCCAGGGTAGCCCGTTAGCTGTGAGCGAGCCAGCTATTAACCCTCCTGTTTAGGGGGTGACGACAGAGACCCACACTGGGCCTCTGCTGCTTGACCTGGCACCAGAACCTGCTGGGAGCACCGTGAAGGGATCTCCAGCTGCTGGCTGTCTCGGGCACTGAGGGGCACAATGACAACTTCAACGTTGCCCAGGTCATGAATGGATGATGCCAGGTGGAGTGGGGACCATGTGGTCAGATGGCTGAGCACAGGCAGGACCAGCTACTTGTCCTTTGTCCCCAGATTTCTGGTTCATCAGTGCACATCCAGAAGCCGACCCGGGGAGTATGGCCTAGCATGGACTCCATGGCCCATATGTTCCCAAGCCCACATGTCAGCCCCCTTTTTCTGTTTCTTCCCTCCCTTTCCTTATGCTCAGCACACGACTGCGTGGGGAGAACACTCCAGTCCCCACTTTGCAGGAGAGGCCTCACATGATTTCATCAAGGCCACACAGATAGCAATTCAGTCAGCACCAGCGTCAGGTGTCCTGTCGCTACGCACCCACCCAGGCAAGTTATCTTACTGAGCAAACACTTGTAGGGCGGCAGGCCAGGCCCTATTCTAGGAACTCCTACCTCCACTGTCTCAATTAGTCCTCAGCGCACACACCCTCTGACAGAGGTGACCCTATATCCTCATGCCCAGATGAGCGGGGAGAGGCGGATGGTCAAGGTCACAGCGCTGGGACCAGATGGGACCAGGGTTCAAACCTGGGCACCCGGGCTCCAGAGCTCTCTCCTGTCTCTGAGTGGGAACTGAATGCAGCAACTCCAGAGGAACGGCTGCCCAGGGATGGCGCCCCAGCGCCAGCATCCTGCCCCTCAGCCCGCACCGTTGCCTGCGCGGTGTGTAAACCAGGAAAAGGAAACTCAGTTCAGGGAGCAGCCCCCTCCCCTGGAGGTGCACTTGAGAATATTTTTGTTTTGTTTTGTTTCTCATATTTCCTCCCATTCTTGACAGAAGGAAGATTTATATTTGTTTTCTTGTTTTGTTTTTTAAACAAATGCAAATACTTCATTATTAAAGGACAGAAGCATCCTGGCTCAGCCACAGCTCGGGGCTCAGAGAAGCAAGTGAGTCATTCTTCACGAGACACTTTGCCCGAGGTGCTCTGGTTTGCTGCCTTCGAACGGGCTCCTGGCACTTCTGGATGTCCCCTGCCTTTCAGTTTCTTGTTTGGTTTGGGTACTACTAGCATGCGTGCATGCATGTGTTTGTGTGTGTATTTATTTCCCCAGAAACCTGCAAGTTCCTACTTTATTCTAGAGAGGTGGGGAGCAAAAGTTTAAAAAGGCAAGTTAGCAACTGGCCCAGGGGCACCCTTCATTATCCTCCTGGCCTGTTGTCTCCAGCCCACACCCTTTCCACACGGCTCAGGAAGGCGTGATACTAGGTGCCAACAAGGCCACAATCCTCAGGCCCTCCAGCTGCAGCCAAAATGGGACCACCCCTCAGGGCACCCTCTGCTCCTCCACCAGCTGTTCTCCCAGCCATAAAATGAGTTAAAATAAGACCAAGGGGCAGAGACACACTCAGGACTCACTGAGGTCTAGTATGCGAAGGAGCTTCTACACTCAAGGGCCTAGCTTCTGCCTTACCACCAAATGAATGTGCAAAGGAAAAAAAAATGCAATGGGGAAAAAAATGGTCACTAAATAAAAGTGATATCCCATAAAGCAGCAGTGGCACCAGGGACCAGTTTCACGGAAGACATTTTTCCGGGGACTGGGTGGGGGCAGGGGGAACACAGCAGGTGGAGCTCAGGCCATCCTGCAAGCAAGGCTTCACTCGCTAGCCTGCCTCGCACCTCCTGCTTTGGGCCAGTTCCTAACAGGCCACAGAACAATAAAGGTCCACGGCCTGTGGGTTGGGGACCCCTGCCATAAAGGATTCCCAAGATATACTAAAACAGGACCCAGTCGCAGGGAACACCAACCTGCCATCAGCCACTGGGAAGGAGACTGAACAAGGCCACCCCGCACTTCCCTTAAAATAGCAGAGAGGGCTAACATGCGGGAATGCAGAGCGGCAGCAGCTGCTGGATCACATTCAGAAACCTGGCCGTGCACAGCCCCCTCTGGGCTGAACTCTGGCCAGGCTGCACAGCCAGCAAAGGGTCAGTCCCTGTCCCCATAACCCCGCCACCCCTCCAGGGAAAGGTGACAATGCTTTACCATGAAACTTGGATCCTGTCCCAAAGGCCTCTGCATGTAGCCTTCAGGCCTCCTCCCCCACAACTGAGGACATAAGGAAAGAAAACCATGTTTTCTGGTTCCATTTGTCTGATGTGAGAAGTCCAGAATGCTACACTAGCTCCCAGAGCCATTCGCCTTATTCTCATCAGCAACCCTGTGCCAGGAACGTGCAAGGTGCTGGTGAGACCATGGAGAGCATGAGACCACACAGTCCATTGTCCCTTGGGACTTCTTTTCCAGCATGGGAGGCCACCGCACAAAAGGTATAATGAGCGGTCCAGAGGGGACAGCTCAGGAAATTACATATTCACTGAGTACCTAAGAGGCCTGCAAGGGGTACTTGTCATACAAAACAATCTATTGGCACCAAAAAAAAAAAAGAAAGAAAAGCCTAATGCAATCAACATGATGGCTTCTTTTCTCTTGGTTGTTTTGTTCACGACTGTCTAATTTGTTGATCTTCAGCCTAAATGTTTGTGGCACTATGGTGATAAAATAGATTCCTGCTGAGGCCAATAATCCATTCACTCATCCATCATTCTACAAATATTTTAAGGTTGAGCCTTATGAAGTGAAGGATTGCGCAAGTTTAAACAGTCGAACATGTGATTTCACAAGGTTCAGCGTGCTCAGCACTTGGGCCCGGCGCTCCGCTAAGCTCCAGGGACTCACTGCGAACCATGAATCAAAGGGAAGATGCCCCTCTTTTCACAGAGCTTATATCCCAAAGGGCGAGATAGGAAATTACCAAGTAAACAAAGGAAAATTATAATTCTGAACTGTGGTAGTGCAGAAAAAGAGACAGGGTGTTGTGAGAGAAAGCAATCACCAGAAAGGACAATCAATGGCTGGGGGAGTCAGGGAAATTATCTCCCAGAGGATGACATGACGATGCTGGAGCTGAGACAATGGCCAGCCGCGTACATATCCGGCGAGAGTCAGGACAGCCCTGGAGAGAGAGGCCCAGACTGCAAACCCCAGCCTGGTCCAGACCAGGCTGCCAGTTCCATGGGGGCCAGCAAATAGAGGTCAGGGGTTTCATACCAACCCACACTTGGACCAAGGAAACCCACTCAGGAGCCTTCTGTGGGGAGTGGGTATCAATTTTACCTTCAACACTGGCCCAGGGGTACCGTTCAGCAGCTAGTGAAAGAGGAACTGCTTCATTATTTCATCTACTAAATTATGCTACATTAAAATTTTAATCGGTGAACATAACACTGGAAAGTGAGTATATTCATATGCTGCTGTTGCCAATGTAACCTGTCAAACTAGTTTTGTTTTTTTAAAAAAAACGCAATACTGCAAAACAAAGAAAAATCCATAATGATGCTCGTATTCTTTGGCCTTCCAACTCTACCCCTAGGGAATTCATCCAAGGGAATAATCTGGTTCAATAGAATAAAAATGTTCTCTTTGGAGAATGCCATTGAGGTGTTAATTGTTGCATGCACAAAGGAAAGATAAAACAACAACAACAAAAAAACCCTAGAATTACTGAAACAACTACAAACACAGATATTTTAAAATACTGGGTGATTCACTTGACGAAACAGTATATATCCATTAAGCATTATAACAAAGATTATATAGAGGGGGCACCCAGCTCCTTGAAAGAAGCAGAAAGAAAACAAGGTGTATATTTTAATGGAAGGCATATCAACAATACTTCAAGGTGAACAAGATAAATGAAAAGAATTAAATCAAGGCCAGTGCAGGGAGGGGTTATTTATTTCAAACATCCTTCCAAAATATTATCATTATATTGTGTTTTTAACTTTAAAAAATCCCTCAGAAATGACTGCACTCTTTGAATGCTTCAACAGACCACCACCGAAACACAAGGACATGGGTTGATTCTAACTCTAAATGCAAAATAGAGATGAATTTGGAGATATCTCCTATGTTATATGAGTATATCCCACAGGCTTTCACATATGGACCCTACTCATAAGACCCAACTTTGAATAACAGTGCAATACTGCATGACTGTACAATAATGTCTCTCTTTTTGGAGTGGAATGGGGAATAGGAAGTTGTCTTACACTCCTGACTGGGAGGAGCAGCAGATGAGCAAACGCCTCTCACCCCTCCCACCCTTTGCAAGGGTAGAGTCAAGAAGTCCCCTTATATCAACCAGGTGAGGAGACGCAGGCTTGGCGGCACTCACCTTTCACGATCAGCTCTGCGTAGTTGGACACTCCAGAGCCACCATCAGAGCGGATGACGCAGCGGTATTTGCTCACACTCCGCTGGGCAGTGTCCGCCACGCTGACCGTGGCCGAGAAGCGCCTGTGGTTGACCACGCGGGTGACCATGAGGGCTGTGTCCCTGCCATTCCATTGCTGCAGGACAGAGGAAGGGAGGGAGAAGAGAAATCAAATCATCCTGTGCTCCCTGGTGACCATGAGCACGGAGGCCCCACCCATCCCCACCTGGAGGCGGGGCGGAGGGGCTGCCGTTCCAGGGTACGGAGTTTCCACGGCTGGCTTTTGGGAGTGATCTGATTTAATAATAAACTTTGCTGGTGAGCTGATTCAAGAGCGCAGATGCCTGGTGGTAAGAAGAGAGGGCCCTGGCCCCTTGGAAGCACCTTGGTTCCTTGCTCAGCCTGCATTTGGGGGGTGGCACTTTGCCCCTAGACTTCCTCCCATTTTCCTTCATCTATTAAGCAGAACCAACAGAGTTCCCTCAAAGACAGACTCATACACATTAGTGAAAACCCAATCCATGGAGTGATCACAAACAGCCCAGCCTCTGATCCTACGCTAGTGTCCTGGCGCCCCAAGCGCAGGCTCTGAGTCCCACCCCACCAACAACCAACCTGCCCCCAGGGTAGAGTGGGGATGGGGGTTTTTCAGCACCTCCCCTCCTTGGCACATGCTCTTTCCTCTGCCTGGAATCTCCTGAGTCCCTAGGGGTACTCCCTCTCCTTAAAACCTAGTTCAGCTCATCACCATCGCCGATAAGCTCCCCCAACCATCACACCTCCTTCTGGAAGCTGCTATTCACTCTCCACAGACGGTGCCAACTTCTGATGCACTTTTGCTTACAAGTGTTTGCCACTGTAGACTGTGACTCCCCAGGAGCAGGACTTTGCTCTTTTGGTCTCCAGCACCGTGCCCGGACGCCTTGTGGCATGATGAACATTTCCAGAATCAAGGTGAGTGAGTGCACAAGCATTTTTGTCTTTATCATCCTGAACCTTAGGGCTGGTATTTTGAGTTTGAGTAAGACCCTTTCACAGCAGCTGGTTATGACACCTGGTAAGGCGCAGGCACAAGGATGCAGTTTGTATGGATATTTATTAAGTACCTACCATGTGCCAGATCCTGGATCTCCTTTTTAATCCTCACAGCCGAAGAACTCGCCTGTCAGCGAGGTTGTATAAATACGTAGAGCACATAAGTCTCTTATCCAGCTTTTCCAACTTCAAGCCAAGCATTCTTTTCACTAAGACCTTCTCATCACTGCCTACCTCAATTCAAATTTTTTTCTCCAAAAGTAAAATTGAATGTTTTCATTGTCTGGTTAGATTTAGGGAAGCCTTGTGATTTATAAGTTTCCTCATGTCCCAAGTCTCCCAAGATGCACTCTTCATCATTTCCTGCACCAAGTAAATAATTCCACCACATGGTGACCTACTGTCACCCACATCATCTTCCATCACCCCCATCGGTGATATGTCAGGACTGTATGAAGCAAATGAGGTGGGACAACAGAGGTCGGCAGTGGGTAGGGAGCCAAGGCCTCCATGGGACCTGCTCTAGCTTGGACAGGGAGATAGCACATGATGAGTTTCTCCTTCTTCCTCTTGTATTTGTTTAAAGATTTTTTTCATTTATTTTTAGAAAGAGGGGAAGAGAGAAAGAGAGAGAGAGAGAGGGAGAGAAACATGGACATGCGAGAGAAACATTGATCGGTTGCCTCTTGCACGCCCCCAAACGGGAACCTGGCCCACAACCCAGGCACCTGCCCTGACCAGGAATCAAACCAGTGACCTTTGGTCTGCAGAACGACACCCAACCCACTGAGCCACACCTGTCAGGGAGGCTTCTTCTTCCTTTTACTTTTCTGGCATTCTCTGGACTTTCTGCCTCAAACATGTATTGCTTTCATACTTGAAAATAATCAAATAATTGGTCATTTAACAAGCTATGGCAGTATGAGAGGTAGTCACAACCCCTCTCCTACCAGAAAGTGAGCAACATGACCAGTTAAAAAAAACACCACCACAAGGAAATGCAAGGAGGAAGAAAGGTCACTGGGGCTTGAACTGCCAACTACCTGCCTCGGGGTACAGCTAGAATCAAACCATGAGAACCGACCGGACTCCAAACACATCTCACCTTCCCAAAACAGTGCAAAGAAGAAGGAGAGTACATTCTGGAAAATTGCAGGAAAGTGCCCCGATTTGAGGGAGAGCTGGCTGAATGTACCGGAGGGCCTGGGAAGAGAAGGAGTTGCCAAAGAAGCCCATTTTCCCCAATGCTGAGCAAAGTCCTGCAAGGCCGGTGTGGAGGACATGAGGGAGTGAGTGAGTGACGACTGATGAGAGATGGGTGGGTGTCTTCTAACCTGCTTTCCTTGGAGCAGCATAAACACTCCTTTCCTTTGTTAAGCTAGTAGTGACTACTCCCTAACATGGGCTAAGTGTTTCACATGCCTTCTCATTGATTCCTCCAAAAATCCATACAGTGGGCACACAGTATATGTACTATATGAATGAGGAAGCTGGGATTTGAATGCAGAGCATCCAGCCGCAGAGCCTGTCCTGCAAACACCGCCTGTGTAGCTGCAACGCACCCTCATTCCCAAACATGGGAGAGTGTGAGTAATGGGTGTGACCAGGATCCACCCATTTTGTTACCAATTTCTCAGCTGAGGATCAAAAAAGAAAAAACAAAAGCAAAGCACAATGATGGGGTGGAGGGGAAGGATGTTACGTAGAAGGTGGGAGGTAATAGGTAAAAACACATATGCCCCAACCAAACCGACAGCTCAGACATCCCAGGCCTTGAACGGCCAAGAAATTCAGGGGATAAGCAAGGACAGACCAAGGGTAATACCAGCACAAGGGCTCTAAGAAACAGGCACTAAGAGATGAGTGGATAAGGAAATGTACAAAAAAATAAGTAAATAAACCTAGCGACGCTAAGAGAAGAATTATAAGAAGCAAATAATGCCATCTGCAGAATTCAAAACAGCATTAAAAGTTGATTAATCCCAGGAGTAACACTGCAGAATATCAGGGACCTGAAGGACAGGCTTGAAAAGAAGGACCAAAAATCCAGAGAGCCAAAAAGCAAAGATGAAAGGAACTGGAGAGATGAAGAAAACGGAGACCAGGCAACTACCATGTACGTAATTGGTATCCTAAGGAAGAGAGATGAATGAAAGGAACACAAATCATATCCCAAGAAATAATAGGTCACTTTCCTGTACTAAAATAGAATCTGAACTTTCAGCTTGAAATGACCCACCGTCTACTTGATTAAAACTTATGAAAACCATTATAACTGAGGTATATGTCCATAAAAATACCCGTAAGGATAAGAAAGTATATAAAAATCCAGACCAAGAAAGACTGTGCCAGAATTGATACACAAGCCAATCTGGGTTAAAACTCCTCATCTGCGATTGTTTGCAAAGCCAAGGATGTGGCTGGCCCCCAGTGGTCACAGGTGAGCTCCCGGGAGGCTATAGTTACAGAGATACTTGTAAGAAGACAGGGATGGAACTAGGGAAAGAGAGGACAGGGAATAACAGTAAAATATGCAATCGAATCTTCAATTTGTGCGAACCTGAGCAGGTGGTTTATTTCGCGGAGCTTCGGCTGCCTCATATATACAATGGATTTGATCCTGTGTCCACTTTACGAGCTATTATGACGACTAAATGAGAAAGCGCGTGAAACCCTTCGCACCTGAAGGCGTATCCTAGCGTTAGCAGAGCTCTCTAAACAAACCATGAAATTAGCCATGAAAAGTGACATAAGCAGGACGATGCCCCCCGGCCCCGCAAAGATGTCCACATCCTAATCCCTAGAACCTGCGGATATGTCACCTTCCGTGGCAAGAGGGACTTCGAAGGTGTGATTAAGTTAAGGATCTCAAGGTTAGCCTGGGTTATCCAGGCGGGTCCAGTGTAATCACAGGGGACCTTATGTGTGAAAGAGGGAGGCAGAGGGGACAGTCAGAAAGATATGGTGACAAGAGCAGAGGTCAGAGTGACATGCTTGATGGCTTGAAGATGGAGGAAGGAGCCACGAGCCAAGGAATTCAGGCCATTGCCAGAAGGTAGGAAAGGAAAGGGAAGGGGTTCTCACTCTGAGCCTCCAGAAGGAGCACAGCTCAGCCAACACCTTGACTTCAGCCCAGTGAGACCCATTTCAGACTTCTGACCTCTGCTACTGTAAGGTAACAGATTCACATTGTTTTCAGCCACTAAGTTTGTGTGATTTGTTACATCAGCAATAAGAAGCTAACACAAAGAGCAAAAGGTCTGATTAAGCGCAAAACATTCACTTTCCACATTTTGTTTAAATTTTATTTTGATGTCTCCTCCAGTATTATTTACTTTTCTTCTTAATGATGCCAGACCCAGCAGAACTGAAGGGGGTCAGGCGCTCCCCCCTGAACGATTCATATTTTTCTGTTTAACTCCCAAACCACCAGGCTTTCTCCCATAGAAGGACAGGAAATTGCAGGTTGTCTTATAGAACCTCTGGGAAAGAAGACTTTTGATAATCACACTTGTCATATTGGGAGCAGGCAGCAGCAGGACAGGGACGAGCAGGCGGGCCCAGAGTCACGAGAGGAAATAGCGTTGTGATGGACAGTGGGTAAGGAGAAGTGAAGGTTAAGTTCAGAAAGATGAGCCTGCCCTGAAGGGCAGGCCGGTGCTGAAGGTCAAGGCAGATGCACAGTAGCCCAGGAACCCAGAAAGAGATAGAGTTCAGGAGGGATTCTGGGAGATCAGTGATGGCAAGAGGCTAAGATGCAGAATGCTGTGGCAGCGTGGAGGCGGATCTAGGCAGAGTGAACGGGTAAGAGGCACAGGTCCCAGCCACGGTCTCAGCCCCAGATAGAAGCAGAGGGGAAAATGCAAGGGGAGAGATCATTAAGCAGCAAAGAACTCAGAAATCAAGGCCCGTAGGTTTGAGAGGACAGAGCGAGGGGGAGAGCAGGGGCTATTCCAGGAGCTGAAGTGGACCACAGCCCAGAAGCAAGGTGGGGACCTTGTCTCCTTCCCAACGAGGCTGTCAAGCGTCACATCAATGCACAGAGATGTGAATGCAGGGACGCTGGGAAAGAGGGGCAGGGCTGTGAAGGGAAGGTCAAAG